ATAATTTATAGTTTGACAGCCCGCAGTTACTTCAAGAGCATTTACAAGCGACTGGCCACACTTAGCAGATACATCCATTTGAATATATCATGATGAGTTTCAAAAATAAAAACTCTATCTATCTCAGAAAACACTATCAGACCACTGCCCTACAATAGAATACTATCAAACTGATGATATCTTCTTATAGAGAAGTAGAAAAACTAAAAAAAATACTAACACTAATACTAATATTAAAAGAGAATACAAAAATAACGAGAACTAATACTAAAAAACAAAAACAAAGATAAAAGAGAGGGCTAAAAAGAAAACCAAAATCTGACAAGGCACAATTATAAGTCTATATCAGGCTTTAAAAAATTATATATTAATAGAATAAAGAAGCTCTGTATCTAACTCTACTCTAATAATATATATATCTATAATGAAAAACCTATTTTATAAAGAAAAAAATGTCCTAAGCTAAACTAGAAAAACTAGACAGAGTAGTTAGAAGGGAACTGTAGTCTCAAAGTATTGTTTGCAATTTATGGAAGTTGAGGTATATCATCAATGTATATCCCAGATATACTATTTCTGTACATAGGAGTTTCCTACTCAGTCTATTTTGATGCATCTGATCGCAGTCTACTAGTTTATTTCAGTTGTAGCTTAAGTTTTCCAGACTACTTCAAATAAACAACACGTCATAAATATCTGCTTTGGGAAAATAAACAATATTAACTATTTTAATAATTTTACATGTCAATCTTTTGGAGAAGGTAAACTATAACATCTACTTTTTTGATAAATTTCCTTAAAAAAAAGTGGTGGGCCAATGAGGTTGTTTCTTGTAAATTTTATAATTGTATAGAGTAACCCAAAGTTTATAATACTTCTGGTATCATCCTGGACACTTTGTGTTTTCAAAATATCCTTCTGGTTTAGATGCTGAATATAATAGAGGAGTCCGCCAGCAAGAAGCTTGAACCTCTACCAAAACTAGTCCAAAGTAGACTGCACCTTAGTTTTATACTCTTGGTACTTCATCGACAATACATCTACTTTTGTAGGACCAAGTTTATTATTTATTTTAGCAACTTCTATAGTGCTAACTATAGTTCAGTTTTTTGAATTTGTTGACTAAGAGATTGTCAGAAAGAGTTGTTAATACTTTACATACTCTATTATCTCCTATATACTTTATAAATTTATATATTTAATATAGTCTAGTATTTTTTATTATATTTTATAACTTTATACTATTAAATATACAAATCTTATAGTTTAGTCTTACTTTTAAATTTATACTCTATTTACTTTATATTTGTTTTGCTTACAAATCTAAATAAATCTTTAACCACTCTAGTAGATTTAGATCACAAATAAAATAGTTTGAGCTTTTATTCTTGCATATAGTTTTTACTTTTTATATTTTATATATTAAGGTTAGCAACACTTTGTAGTTGCTATAATAAAAATACATGCAAGGCCTTATCTTAATACCAAAAAAAAGTTTATATAGTTAGCAAAATATTTTTTGAAAATATCTTGTGATTTATAGATTAATTTTAATAATTTAACTATTATTAGATTTATTTAATAAGTTTTACAACTTTAATTAGAAACTTAAAAGTAATTAATTTAATATAAAAGTTTTAAATAAAAACAAAAAACTTTAATTTTTTTTTAATATTAAAGTGACTACTTTGGGGTCTGGTATATTTTATTTGCAATTTGGATTAAGCGCTAGCTCAGTCTTGTTGATCTCACTTGACTTTGTTATGCTAATAAAAGTACAATTAGTCATATGTATAACTTTAGTTATTATCTATTTAAGGGTTTTGCTATATTTATTTTTATCTATAGTTATCTATCAATTGCTATATCTAAGATCTGCTTGTAGATCTTCTATTTAAACTTTCTGATCTACTTCATGCTATTGTATTGTTTTTACTACTACCTAACTGCTGCTAAAGCCTCTTAGAACTATTTTATCCTCATGATAAACCTGCTACAGCTTTCCATACTCACAATCTAGCTAACCTAGTCTTTAGCAACTTATGCTGAGACTAAAAACAAGTACTTGTGAGCTGAGGTCACTAATATTACTGCTGCTCTTGCAAAGTTTATCCAAACCCCAGTATACACTTTACAAACTATCACCAGTACCCCAACTATCCCAAACTAAAAACCTTAATTTTTATATATACTACTCTCTAGTAGATAATATAAATATAATAGAGATAAGGTTAGCTTTATAAAAAATTAGCCAAAAATAAATTTGAACAAAATACTAGTTAGCTATATAGTTATTATTATTAATTTAAATCTATCCTATATCTATAAAGCATTAGTTTGTATCTATTTTAATGTAGTTCTATTAGTATAAAAGTTGAATGAGTATTGAGTTATATTATTGAGTACTATTTAAAGTAATTGATCAGTTTTTATTTGATTTAAAGATTTCTAATATGATTGAGTGAATAATTGTTTTTATAAGCAGTGTTAATAAAGAGAATATTAATAGTAGATATTTAATAGCTATAGAGAAAATAAGGTTTATATAGTTGATATTAAAGTTAAGAGAGTTGTAAAAAGTTCTACTAAAGAATTAAATAAATATAATTGTTAAAACATTAATAGTATACAACTCTCCCTAACAATTACATAGATCAACTAGTAGTGATATATACAGGACATTTTAGAACATAGTTTTTGGACATTTTAGAACATTTTAACAAAAAATAAAGCTAATTTATTCAAAATTTTATTATAATAATCTGTTTTAATCTTCTAAATAAAGTTGTAGAGTATTAGATAAAATATATAATCATATATTTTTTATAAAAATATTTTAAATAGTTAAAGCTAAAATTAATATTTCAGATCTTGGACATTTTCAAAAAAGTGGCAGGACAGTCAAAACATACATCACTGCAACTAGTACCAAAAGCAAGTTGAAGACTCAAAGCCAGAAGTTAATAGCAACTTGAAGTTTTTTAATATGAACTGTTGTTGACAAGTTTTTAAATATAATATACTGAGAAGCAGATAGTTTGGACAGTTTGCAAAGAGGTCAAGCCTTTTTCTAGGTTTTTTTAGATAGACTCCTCTTTGCATTCAGCATCCAAACTAGAGAAATCTCTGAGAATAGCAAGTAAAAAAGAAAACTCAAAAAGTTTGAAAACAGAAAGATATGACGAACTCTTAAAAAAACTCTCTTTAGTTGAAAACTCACAAAACCAAAACTCACCTCGCTGCTTGATGCTCCCAAAACTAATTTTTAACAAAAAGTGGGGAATTAGATTACCTTTGTCAAAAGATTGGCATTTGTTTACTACTTCTATATTTAGTAACTCTGTGATATGAATACAACAAACCATATAGCTACATAGAAAGTAATTTATTTCTTATTTGGGAATATAGCTTCAGTACGTTAAGGACTCAGAAAGTTTTTAAGAATTTATATACCAATTAGACAAGACAAGACTGGGAGAACACATGGAGTCGATATATTTGTTATACTTTGGAATGAAATATAGATTTAAAGTTGAAGCGATAAAGAGAATTTGAGATATGCAGTCTAATAACAAAATCATGTATATATAATTTTTAGACCTTGGTACAGGTCAAAGTGCATTTAGCTTAGTTTTCTTTTTATATATTAGCTGAGTTCTATGTAATTACTACAATCAGCAGTGTTGGATAATGATGACATATAACTTATATGACTTATATGAATTGTCATATCACAATATCATATAATATGTCATATAATAATAATATGACATGATTTTATATCATATGGCATATAAGTTATATGATCCTATATTATGCAAACATATTATATGATTTTATAATATTGTCATTTGCCAATACTGATGATCAAGTAGATAAGTATTCTGGTTAGAGGTACCAATTTGTTATATAGGTTCTTTAGTTTTATAATTAGTACTTTAGATTTTTTTTTATCAGTTTAGTTATCTTCTTATTTGTTTCATTTTAAAATATCTTCCTTCTTGTAATTCTCTTTTCCTATTTGCTCTTCAAAATTTTTTTTAAAGAAGATTGGTGATATATTATATAGGGCAGTGATCCTGACAAGGTTAGTGAGCACCTACTGCAGACTCTTGGAATATAAATTCTCAGTAAGTTGAGAATCCCAGATGAAATAAAGAAGTACTACTTAGACAGGTCACATCTGGGTCTTTCTTGTGAAACTTTTTATAGGTTCTTGTTAATCAGATCAAGTGATTTTTTTATTAGTATAGGTATATATAGTTCTACTAGATAGTTTAGCCACTATAGAAGTATTCTATGCTGATTTAAATAATAAAGAAAGGATTGCTAAAACAAAAAAACAAAAAAACATTAATTGTATATACAGAGGCTAATTTTTTAAATCAAAATAATATTCTATATATAGTTTGCAGTTAGTAGATGCAAGTAAATAATATGTGTTGTTGTTTATATTAATATTAGATAGCTACTATATGTATTTAAGCAATACTATATTAAGCAACTTTATTTTATGATAAAATCATCTATATATAATTTTTGCTATAACGTTATATACAATTCTTAGTTTTTTATTATATTTATATCAAATAAGATTGAATCCAAAATACAATAATATGATCGATATTTTTTTACTGCATATTCAGCAGCTTTTCCAGTCAACTCTTTACGATATATCTAAAGAATATTTAAGCATATTATCTAATTTCATTCAGCAGCACTAATGCAAAAGCTTGTAGTACTGTTCTCTTTAGATCTTCCCAAGAATAGTCACAGTAGCTTCATGAATATCATTTTGCAACCCCCAAAAATTTTTAATAAGATTTAATTCACAATAAAATTTTGATAAAATATGACTTCATGATCTACAGAAATAATCACTTCTTCAAGTTTTCTGTGTTATGCTTTAAAATCTGGCTAGTTTGCTATTATATTCTTGTGCAACAATTAGTGCTTCCTTCTTTACATCTACCTTTATATTTTAACTTTATTCTATCATACTACAACTTTCTTTCAATTAGAACTTTTTTTAAACTTTTTGGTTTGCCATGCAATTCAGAAATCTCATATTTTATCAGAAAATACATGTCTTGTTTAATATCATTTTCATACATGGTACTTCTACATATATGTAACAAAACATAAATAATGTCAAATAAAAATTTGATAAATTCAATAATACAAACCTCATTTTTGCCTGTTTTCTATCGGGTAACAAATTCATATTATTTGCTAGAAGAGCATTGTATACATAAGCAGCATGACTAGTAGTATTATCGAATGCAAAGAGAGCCTTTGCACATAGAAATAAACCTCAAAGATTGGAATTGCATATTTCACTACTTGGTCTACAAGATCATCAGAATTTCACTATCTATCACTATTTTTTCCCAGATATGTTATAATGCATGCTTCTAAAATATTCTAAAAAACTTTAATTAATATTGCCTTACTACAAAAAAAGTAAATTGAAGTAAACAAAACTTATATACCTGGTCTTTACACAATGTCAAATATTTATCAACATCAGTAAAAAAATTACTTATATAAATAAATTACTCTTTATCTTTTTTATGGAGTAGTTATTCCCTCTTTGGTTTTCATAACTGGTGTCTCCCATCATATACAGAAAATATATATTCATCATGCATTACCAATATTGTAACTTGATCAACATCTGGCCAGGTTTCTATTTCTATATTTTTTTCTGAAAAACTTATCATTTTTTTTCATAATCTGCTATCTTTTCCAAAAAATTTCCTGGTAAGCTAAAACATCTGTCCATTTATAACTATCCATATACATGCCCTTTTTAACTTTGAAATATTTAAACCCAAACTCTTTCATCTATCTGCAGGCTGTTCTTATGCTTATTGTTGGTGGTGGATCAAAGCAAAATTTGGAAAGTACCTCTTCATTTATATAATTTGTCAGATTTTTAGAAGAGATACTCTATTTGTTTAATCTGTAATAAAACATCGTCATCCTACAAAAAACTCTATGTCTTTAGATGCTTTCCTTGTTTTGATACTGAGAGAGTACTATTTCAAATATATTTTGATGTCCATGCTTGTATAGAATGAGCATGATAAATATTTTTTTAGTAGCATTAGCAACAACAACACTAGCTTCAATTTTTTCTCTGCCACATTCTACAAGACGAAGCTAAGATAATATTGCATTGAGGCAAGACTTTTCAATATAATTGTGTCTATTACTTTTGACCTCACTATCCAGTTGTTTAATATGATCATTCAAGTTTACAGAACCTTCAGTTTCAAATTCACTTTATGTTTCAATTTCAGAATAATTATCTAAATTAAAAGAATTTAGTTGTAACTTTTTCTTGAATAAACACAATATATTGGTGGTATATGGCTGTCTTATGTTTTAGCTTATTATTAAACAGGTGCAAGGCAACATACCTGAAGTAAAACTTAAAATTATATCTAAACTTAAAATTATATTTAAGATAATAATAAGAACTATCTTTGCGACTAGGTCACTTGCCAAAGACAACACATCTGAAAAAAAAGCAGATTATCAAAAATCTGATATTTTATAGTTTTTTTTTGACCAATCACATGCATATATTTTTTATCACATGATTTTGGGCCCAGCCAAATTTTTATCTATTTATTAATACTAATTAATAAAAATAGCTGATCTTTAAAAGGATTTAGTATTATCAAATCTTAACAAATCAATAAATAGATTTTGTAATTTTGTTCTTCTTATCTTTTTATATATTTTTACAAAAAATTTTTTCAAATATCTTAATTTTTTATTTTTATAAAAAATTTTTAAAAATTGCTTTTTTACTTGCTAGTTTAAGGTGTCCCGCACTGTAGAAGCTTTATTAAATTAGTAAATATTTGCAAACTTTGCTAATAATATTTTATTATCATTAAAAGTAAAAAGCTATAGTTTAAGTTTTTTAGATATATTGTATGTATTGTAAGTATATAAGATATACTGATTTTGGTTTTTAATTACAATATACTCTAAAGTATTAAACTATAAAAGTATTTTGTCTTTTGGTAGCTATAATAATCTAGATAAGAGGTGTATTAATACCAGAAGAGCCTCATTGTTAGCTATACAGTTGTTCTAAATAGAGTATTTTTAGTCTTCTAAGTTGCTATTAAAGTAAATATATTTTGGATATGTATCAAAGATTTTTTTAAGTAGTTGTATATTATATTGAATAGTATTAAACTATTGAATATTTAAGTTAGCTATGATAGAAATATTAAGATATTTAAAAAGTTTGATAGTTTTGAAGTTTAAAGAAAATTTGTTAAAACTATTATTAAGAGATTGTAGATATTGAAGAATATTTATAGTAGACTATAAGTTGTTTTATAATTATTGTAGAGTTATATAATTTAGCGCATGTGCGTTATAACGCACCCACCTGATCGACCAATCAGATCGTAAGATCAGGTGTAA